TATGACCGGTCCCCGAGTGGCCATCCCCTCTCGTCCCCCCTCGTACGGTGACAGTAACGACCTGTGAAATACTGGGTGCAGTTTCATGTGGTTGGGTAACCGGAGCCTGAAAGCCACTGGGTTGACCTGTTGAATGACCTCAAAGGGACCCAACCTCCTGGGTCGTAATTTCTTACAACCTCCTTTGAACGGCAACCCTCGGGTTGACAGCCACACCCTATCTCCAACCCTTATGGTTTCACCTTCCCTTCGGTTCTTGTCTGCCTGCCTCTTGTATTCTTCCTTCGCCCTTTCTAAGTTGAGTTGGAGCTGACGGTGGATTGCTTCCATTTCTTCTACAAAATGCTCGGCTGCCGGTACGCTCCATCTCTCCCCTTCTCCCCTGGGAAAGCCCTGGGATGACACCCATAATTAGCCAAGAAGGGGCTCATCCCTGTGGACACATTCTCGGCATTGTTGTAGGCAAATTCCGCCAGCGCCAACTTTTCTACCCAGTCATTCTCTCTGTCATTGACATAACACCTCAGGTATTGCTGGAGGACACCGTTTGCTCTTTCCGCCTGCCCGTTGGTTTCAGGGTGCCGGGCAGTCGAACAGTTGACCTCCACCTGCAGTAAGCTCATGAGCTTCCTCCAGAACCTGGAAGTAAATTGTTTTCCTCGGTCTGAGACCACCCTCAATGGCACCCCGTGCAACCTAAAAATGTGTTCTACAAATAACTTCGCTGTCTCTTCCGCCGTGACTGCATGCGAGCAAGCTACAAAGCTCCATTTCTTTCCTCGAAACCCCTTGATTCCTCTCCCTCATCCCTAAGACCTCTGAGCTTATTCTGGGCGTATTCATCATTCTCTGTTTCTTCTACCAGTTCTCTTTGTCCCACCAATGCCGCCCCACACACCCAGCGGTCCTCTGGAATGACATGTCTCTCTTCGGGTGCTCCTCCCCTCCCAATATTCAGGTTTGCGTGAGAGAGCGTCCGCCCTAATGTTCTCTGGGCCTGGCACGTAACAAATCTCAAAGTTAAATTTGGAGAATTCCTGGGCCCATCTCACTTGCCGTTGGTTGAGCACTCGTGCCGTCCTCCAATACTCTAGGTTCTTGTGGTCAGTGCACACTTGCACCTTATGTTGTGCGCCAATTAGCAGGTGCCTCCATCTCCGGAACGCCTCATGAATGGCTAGTAGTTCTCGGTCATACACCGTGTAGTTCCTCTCGGATTTGTTCAGCTTTCGCGAAAAAAAGCACACGGTCTCCACTCTGACTCCTCCTTCCCTGGCTGGAGAAGCACCGCCCCAACCGCTCTGTCTGATGCGTCAGTTTCCACTCTCATCGGTTTTTGTAAATCCACATGCAGGAGCTGTTGTTCCGAGGCGAAGGCCCTTTTAGTTCCTCAAATGCTTGCTCCGCCTCCTCCGTCCAAACGAACTTCTTCTTACTGCTGAGACAGTCCGTAATGGGCGCCGTCAGGTGGGCAAAGTTTGGGATGAACTTACGATAGAAGTTCCCAAACCCTAAAAACCTCTGCACATCCTTCCTTGTTTTGGGTGTTTTCCATTCCAGTACCGCCTGGACCTTGTCGGGATCCATGGCCAACCCCTTGTCAGACAGGCGATACCCCAGGAATTCCACCTCCTTGGTATGAAACTGACACTTCTCCAGTTTCACCCACAGCTGGTTGGCTTGCAGCCTGCTCAACACTTCTCTGACGTCTCTCACATGCTGCTCCTCATTCTCAGAATACACCAACACGTCGTCTAAGAGGCCACACAATTCTTGTAAAGCAACGGCCCCAGGACGTGGTTCATAAACGATTGAAATGTTGCGGAGCCTGCTTGTAGACCGAAGGGCATAACTAAGTATTCAAATGCCCCTAAAGGGGTGAACATGGTGGTTTTCCATTCATCCCCCTTCCTTATTCGTATCAGGTTGTACGCCCCCCTTAGATCCAGCTTGGTAAAAATCTTTCCCTTCCGCACCCTTGTCAAAATGTCGTCAATCCTGGGCATCGGGAAGGCCACTGGTTCTGACACTGCATTTAAGGCCCTGAAGTCACACACCAGTCTCGGCTTGTTCGTGTTTTTTGTCCACAAAAACACTGGGCTGCCCCCACCGCCCTGGACTCTCTGATGAACCCTCTCTTCAGGTTCTTGTCAATGAACTCTCTTAGCTCCTGCATCTCTCTGTCTGACATGGCGTACAGCTTGCCCACAGGGAGCTGTGCCCCAGGGAGCAAATTGATTTGACAGTCAAAGGCTCTATGCGGTGGTAGTTGGTCAGCTTCCCTTTCGCTGAAGACGTCGCGGAGATCTGCGTATTGTCGTGGTACCTTCACGTTCTCCGTCACTTCAGTCCCTGCTAGGGTGGCTTGGGCCCCTGCCAAAACCCTTCCCTCTTTGCAATGTTCTAAGCAATGTGCTGACCCAAAAGAAACCACTCTTTGATGCCAGCCCACCAGCGGATCATGTAACGCTAGCCAGCTCATCCCCAATATAATGGGAGCTCCTCCCAAGGTGGCCACATTAAATGCTATTAGTTCGGTGTGCCTTGCCACCTTCATTATCATTGGGACGGTCTGCAAGCTGACTTCTCCTCCCAACAGCTCCCTGCCATCGATCGTGGTTACCTGCAGGGGGTTGCTTAAAGGGAGCGTCTGTATCTGGTGTTCAGCTGCAAACTCTTTGCTCATGAAATTGCAGGAGCTGCCTGAGTCCAACAGCGCCTTTATCTTTAGAGGGTGTCCATTTGGCAGCTCTAGTGTCACTTCTATCACTAGGGCGGGTTTAGGAGGTTCTGGAGTGGGCACTTTCACTGCTCTTTGGCCTGGCTGCTGTGCCCCGACAATGGCAGCCAGGCGTTGGCTTTTAGTTGCTCCGGTATTTTTTTCCTCTCTTCCCTCCACAGCTCCCACCATCCCTTGCCATTCCTTCCTCTGGGGCAGACTCTGGCAAAGTGCCCTGGCTGTTGGCAGAGATAGCATTTCCGGGCGCCTTTTCCATCCTTCTTTCCCCCTCACTGGGCTTTGAAACTGCGCGCGCGCGCTGTTCCGATTTCCATCGGCTCTGCCGGCGGGACAGTTGGCTCTGGAATGTCTGGAATGCGGAACTCCTTCCAACGTTCCCCTTCCCTTCCCGCCTCTCCAATGCTCTCGCCTCCTGGCGCGCTCCTATGGCCAGCGCTGATTTGGTCAGCTGGTCCATAGACTCCGCCCTGGGCGCCCGGGAAAGTTCATCTTTCACAGCCGAAGAAAGCCCTTCTTCAAAGAGCATTTGAATGGGTTCCGCCGATAAGTCCCACCCCAATCTGTGTATCAGCATGGTGAACTCAGTCCAGTACTCACGTACAGATCGGCTCCCCTGTTTGCAAGCCATTAACTGTCTGCGCACCACTCCCTTTTCAATATCGCTGGAAAACATCAGATCCATGGCGCGAAAGAACTTCATCGTGTCCTTTAGGACGTCACTATGCGCTGCCATCAGGGGTCTCACCCAGTCTCTCGCCCCTTTTCAAGATGCCCAATCACAAAAGCCACTCGTGATTCCTCATCAGGGAAATCATCAAACTGCAGATTGAGGGCATATTGCATTTCTGTCCGAAAGCTATGATAGTCTTTGGGCTCCCCCCCAAATTTCTGCACCAATCCTGGTACCTTTCTGGCGAGCTGGGTGGCTTTCTCCCTTTTGTCTGCATCTTGAGCCCTCCTCTCCTCCAGCCTCGCCGTCTGCAGCGCCAGCTGGACCTCCAACACCCGGTACCTTTCTTCCAGGCTTGGACCCGCTCCAGCCCCTGCTTCTCCGGTTCCTGCTGGGTTGCTCATTATGCCTTCTCCTGCACAAGCTGCGTTCAAAGACTGTCGGAATGCTGTGATGGGATTATGAGCTGCTTGTGCGTAAAATCGTATTCCCTCAGAGTTTGTTCAAGTCCACAAACCTCTGTCTGTGACTGAGCCCCTCTGACATGGCTCCTCTAGTCACTAGAAGATTCCGACAGTGGTTGCTTTCGTAATCGCTTCCAACATAAAAGCTCCTTAACGGAAACACGTCTTCTGGACTCTCTGCGTGACAGTTTCCGGCGAGGAGTGGGTGTCGCTACAGGAGGTCCGGAAACCTCACCACTGTTTTCGCTGGAAGTATCTCTGAGCCATCCCCCCAGCTCCCTTTCCCTCAGTTCAGCTTCTCTCCCCCTGCTGGTTTCCTCTTCAGCTGCTGAATCTCTTCCAACCTGTCTGATTCCTTTCACCTCCCTTCCTTCCGATGGCAGTTCCCTGACAGATTGCCAGGTTAATGTGCTAGATCGATGAGATAGAAAGGACTGACAAAACCCGGGACCAGGAGGAAGAGACGCTGGATGAAGATTGGATTGTTTCTTTTTTGTTACTTTTTTATTAGGATTGTTTTATAAAATTGATGAATGTTAGAAAAATGTTGGAAAGAAATTATTTGGCTTTAGCAAAAATGTTTAAAGAATTATGTAAGAATATTATGGTTATGAGAAATTGGTAAAAATAAGATTTAAGTTTTAAGCTTTAAAGTTTTTATAGTAAGATAAGATTAAAATAGAGTAAGGTAAAGTAATGACAGAATATTATGAAGTATGGAAAGGATTTGCTGCGACAATTAATAACCAGGATACAAAAAAAGGGAAGAGGAGGAGGTCAAAGAAAGAAGGTAATGACAGTTAAGGATTTGAGAATATTGGATTTGTTTTTAAATGTTTGTGGTATATTTTTATTTTTTGAGCGTGTTGTGCTATTTTTTTATTTTTATTTTTATTAATCTGTATTGTTTGACTGTGGTTTGTTTTTTCTTTGTTTTTTTTCCTCTTTTTCTTCTTTGTTTTCTTTTGTAATTCAAAAATTTTCAATAAATATCATTTAAAAAAAAACAAAAAACAAAAAAAAAACCTCTCCCCTTTCCCCAAGGCAAAGGGGATTCATAATATTGATTCATAACAGTTATTGAACTATTAAACCCTGTAGCTCTCAAAGCTCCAACAATGGATCTCTTTTCACTCGAATAAGAATAAGAATAAGAACTTATTCTTATTCTTATTCTTATTCTTATTCGAGTGAAAAGAGATCCAATAA